TAACTATAATAAAAAATTAAATTAATAAAGAACATTTAATAATTAATTAAAAAATATTTGAAGTTGCTACATCTTTGCTATTATTTTATGTCATGTCATATAAGATTTGGTATTTCTGTTGAAAACAATTAATGATTGTCTTTTTTACTGTTATATCTTATATGTACATTTTGATATTTTTTTTGAAGATGCTTTTAGTGAGTGCATTTGCAATAAGAACCGGTCGTACGTGAAAGTTCTTCATTCAAATCTTGATTTAGTTTCTTTTGAGTGGACTATTCTACAAAAGGTACCTAAAAAATTCTTAGCGGGTAGCTTGTATGTATTATACCCTTAAGTTATGATTCTTTATCGACTAGGTCATGACTCGAGTTTGATTGTAATGGGGTCAAAGATCCTTGTTTGGCGTCAATGCTCACTGCAAGAAAAAGGAACAATAGTTACAGAATAAGCATGATTGTTGCTGAATAATTATGGAAAAAAGCGTGATAATAATAAAAAAGTATCACAGTATTAGCACACTTTTTTACTTTTAGGAATCTTTTTTTAACTTTTTATATCAATAGCTATACTAACGCTTGGACACTTGATTGTCGAAATTTGTGGGCATAAATAGCGAAATGAGCTATATGTCAGTTGATTTTCAAAGTGAATTATCAGGTTTCGTTGTTCTCACATTGCACTATGATATTTTGAAATTATATTACACCTTTTGTCTTTTTGAATGTCTAATCATTGATTAAACTGATGAAATTTTTTGTCAAAATTGTGCAAATGTGGCATTAGTCCATATAAAGGTTTCAAGCGTATCATGTCATCAATTGAATGAGTCATCATACAATTAATAAGATTGAAGATACAAATTAAGTTAAAGTTCTATCATAAAATTAATTGACAATATGAACAATAGCCCAACTATTTATTAGATGAAAGTTGTTTTATGTTCAACCACATAAATACAATAAAAAAAAAAGAAAATTAATGAAAATAACTTGAAAACTTTGAGTTTTAACGATAAGGATAAAATAAAGGGTAAAGTGAATAGTACCAAAATTGACTTTTTAGTGTAAAAATGTAGTTTTTCGTTAAAGTAAATAGTACCGGGAACTTTTCGTTAAAGTTCCTTAAAAAAAATAAGATTATGATGAATTCGATAGCCAAATGTGACTAGCCAAATTATAGTGACTTAGCTATGTAACAATTGCATGTGTCCGTTGTAAAATATGTTTGTAACAAGAGTAATGCTAGGGAGATAAAATTTGTAGACAAATTTTCCAAAATTAAAGGATATGGAAGTTGATTATTGGTTTATTACTTAAGCGGTGATAACGTGCTCGTTCCTATTAGTGACATATCATTTAGTTTGTAAATTTTATCTTCAAATTTAGTCTCACTAGCATTACCCTTGTAACAATATCGGTTGGTAAGAAATAGCAAGATTTTAGTTATATTGGATGGCTAAATAGATCGTGTTAAGAAGAGATTTTTCAATACCCCTGAAATATACATATATAAGCCATATGTTATTATACGTGAAGTAAATTATATACGACGTATATTGAAAAATCCCGCTATGTTTAGCATCTCTTAAATTGAATAAAAAAACACATGTTAGTTTACTACTTGTCGATGAAGTGGGGTGTGGGTCCTTGAGGTATCTTCTCTTACTTGTACGGCAATCACGTGGGTTAATTAGATAGTGAAGAATGTAGGGCAGATGCTCAAAAATAGATAAAAAATTTGAAAATTTAAACATGAGAATTTTCTGAAAATTCTTTAATAAGCATCATATGCGGATAATATTCTCAATTAAATAATATTGTGTAACAATTTAAGGAGAAAGAAGGTGTTCTTTATTTCGATAGGATAATACTTGCATTTTTTTGTGGGAATAACCTATTTTAATTGTAATTGTATAATTTTTTATTCTTCATGTGAAGATTATTTTTATAAAAAATTATTTCAATCAGATTATTTATTTAAATATATTGAGCAAATCAATAGTGTAAGTACCAAGTAAGATTAATAAATTAAAAGTCAATTTGTTTAATACTGTCAAGACCGTCCATTTGTTTGATATATTTAGATATTCAATTCGGAATGATTTTTTGTGGAAGTGATTTTCAAATGAAAATTAATAAATTGAACAATTTCTAACGTTTATTTTATTCAGTCAAAGTATGTTATTCACAAATAAAAATATATGTGCATCCCCTGCAAGTATTATCTATTTTGATATATGTCCAAAAGCTTTATTACTATAAATTCCACTATTTCCACCCGCTCGTGAAACGTTAATATGCCAATGCCCTCTGGGTCTACAGTGACATCCGCCAATGAAACCCTAGCTCTATTGGTGCCCCTTTGGATTTCTTCTTCAAAAATCGCTTCTTCGTTTTGGATAATAAATCTGCTTGACATATTAATTACAAAACAAAGTGCTTTCTACAACAACAACAACAACAACAACAACAAAGCCTTTTCCCACTAAGTGGGGTCGGCTATATGAATCCTAGAACGCCATTGCGCTCGGTTTTGTGTCATGCCCTCCGTTAGATCCAAGTACTCTAAGTCTTTTCTTAGAGTCTCTTCCAAAGTTTTCCTAGGTCTTCCTCTACCCCTTCGGCCCTGAACCTCTGTCCCGTAGTCACATCTTCGAACCGGAGCGTCAGTCGGCCTTCTTTGCACATGTCCAAATCACCAGAGCCGATTTTCTCTCATCTTTCCTACAATTTCGGCTACTCCTACTTTACCTCGGATATCCTCATTCTCAATCTTATCCTTTCTCGTGTGCCCACACATCCCACGAAGCATCCTCATCTCCGCTACAACCCATTTTGTGTACGTGTTGATGCTTCACCACCCAACATTCTCTGCCATACAACATCGCTAGCCTTATTTGCCGTCCTATAAAATTTCCTTGAGCTTCAGTGGCCTACGACGGTCACACAACACGCCGGATGCACTCTTTCCATCCAGCTCGTAGTCTCTATGGTTTGAGATCTCCATCTAATTCTCCGTTCTCTTGCAAGATAGATCCTAGGTAACGAAAACGGTCGCTTTTTGTGATCTTCTCGCTAGATTGCTCCGGTCATTAGTGTGATAAGTTATATATAAATGGAATAGAGATAGGAAAGCAAACACAAGATGTACGTGGTTCACCCAGATTGGCTACGCCACGGAATAGAAGAGTTCTCATTAATTGTGAAGGGTTTACACAAGTACATAGGTTCAAGCTCTCCTTTAGTGAGTACGAGTGAATGATTTTAGTACAAATGACATTAGGAAATATTGTGGGATAATGATCTCGTAATCACGAAACTTCTAAGTATCGGAGTGTGGTGTCGTCTTGACTTGCCTTATCTGTCTCATAGGTAGATGTGGCATCTTCTCTGGAAGTACTCTTCCTCCATCCAGGGGTGGTATCTTTAAACTGTGGAGATGCACAAGGTAATGTATCAATTTCACTTGAAGCTTACTTGTAGTTTCAGGCTTGGTCAAGCGCGATACAACCATGTAGTAGGAGTCCCCAAGTCGCCGAGCTAGGGGTCTGCTGAAAGAGGTGACAGACAAGGTAAGCAATCAGAGCTCCGACTGATTGTTCACCTTCTCCCCATCTTGCAGCAGCATGAAGGATAAAGAGAAAAAATTGAGAAGAGATGATATGAGATACTTTTGCTTTTGAAGAAGGAACGTTCCACAGCTGGATCTTGACGGAGCTGGCGGTCCGCCAGAAAATCCATCGGAAGGCGGGCTGGTGCGGAGCCTATATATTATCAGTCTCTACATGTTTCACTCACGACGCTCGCAGTCTCAGGTGTTCTACTGACTAACCCTCGACTCATGCTATCGTATGTCCGCGCACCTGTATCAGAACTCCTGTGGCACTTAGATAAGTAACGCATCTGCTAACTGCGCAACGTGCAGTTTACGCTCTATTCACTACGCCAGTGTTCCGCTCTTCGCCACCGACCAGGTATTACAGTAGTCGCGTCTACCTGCTAACTCGACGTGTCTCCTTTGTCGCACTATATGACTTCCGCCCTCAATAGGCGCACATACATAGTCGATCACAGAGCGCAAAAGTAATGCTATCCGACATCTCTAGAACGAGAATACTGTGACAGACCAATCGGAGCATCGTGCGATGTTACGCCAGATGACTCAAGTTCTCTCAAGAGCACTAACACCTTGCGACGACGCACTTTCACCATAAACTGCTTGGTTATTTTATATTTTCCAGCAGGAGATGCCATTAAGTCCTCAAGCTCTCGACGAACAACGGAAACCCAAGTATAATCGCTCTCGTCTACTCTGGAGACAAAAGTATATAACAAGGCCAAAGAGCCGTCACGAAAAAACCGAGTCCCCGCCACCAAGCAGTGATGTTAGATCATGCGGATCTAGAAACGTGTCGTCCACAACCCTGAGTGATAGAGAGATTACTCATATCAGCATTCAAGGTGTTCCCAACGTCTCGTTCCGATGCCCGTTATTTTCGACCTCACTCGCATTCGTTTATGTGTCTCACTGTCATGACGAGTGATAATAATAAGACCCCTAAATATATAGTATCGACCGCTACCCGCTTAACTCGGCCGTGGAAAGACGTTCCCTTCCTCATCAGAAGAACAGTCCTCTAGGAAGAGTGCAACTTATATGTGATAACCACCATCTCCTATTCACGGCGCCTTATACAGTCTGCGGTTTACCTTCACTGCCCGACACGGTGCCTTACTTCACCGTACCATCTGCAACAGGGAGGTACTCCTCACCCGATCCCAGGCCATATTCTAATATACACCGAGGAGCTTACGACCACCCTGCTCCCAACTTCTATCCCGCAGAGGTCGTCTTTACCTCCCGTATGATTCGAGGAGTGCCTCCTCACGCGCACGCGCTAGCACACATCAGTACTACAAGCACTGATACCCACGATGATCTATACTATCCCAGGGCGTCACGCGATCTGACGTTATAATAACACTTGCACCCGACTGCAATTTCGCCCCGTTTGAAACGATAGCCGCGCCACGCGCTTTAACCTGGACTCGAGTAAAATCAGAAACAGATGCTACTAGTACACGCCGGTGTGTTTAGCCCTACAGTCCTGGAGATTCTCGCGAGAGAAATCAACATACTACGTCAGCTAACGGCAGCCAGATACAGGAAGAGACGTGTCTCCAGACGAGTCGGACGGGTACTCAGCTCATGGCACGACGGCGGTGATGCGGAGCACCGGTGGGACCTGGTTGCCTTTATTTCGGCTCGCCACGTCAGCTTTCTCGGCGAGCTCTTTCATTAGGGAAGCGTACTGGCCGCCCAGGCCGATGTCAAAGTCGATGACGTGGATGAAGGCTGATCCGTTGAGGGCTTCGAGCAGGGCCTGGTTTGTTGTGAAGTGAGAGAACATCGGGACCGGCGAAATTCCGGAAAAGCTCTTGTAGGCGCGGATTGTATGGACGATGTCGGACGAGGAAGAGAACTCGCGCGCCGCCGTATCAGAGCCATTGAGGAGGGATTGAAGAGCGTCCTTGAAATAAACCGCGGCGCGCTGGAGTGGCTTTCCGACGGGTTTCGACGGGGAGGAGGATCGCATCCTGTTGTTCAAACGGTCTAGGATCACCTGAGCGAGTTGCAACTCGTCCGAGTCGAAACAGTCCGCGGCGCGGATTAATTCCTCTATGAAATCAACCCCTACGTTCCAGTTGCCCGATTGATGGAAGTCGTTGATCGCATGGTCGTAACAATTCTGGGAGGAGTACACTTCGGAGAGATTGATGCTGTAATCGGAGTGGACGAGCTGGGTGGGATCGAACGGTTGAGGATGCAGGTACTCCGAAATCTGAGGATCGTTTGAATTCAATTGCGGGATTGAATTCTTGAGGTTCGGGACGTTGTCGTCGTGCAACCCTAAGTCTTTCATGATTGAGTCCCAGTCCACTTGCTCCTCCCACTCCACAGGGTCATGGTTCGAGTGGGACAGCACGTCGGAGATTGCCAAAATTTTGGAGGGTTTCTCGGCGGAGACAGGGCTGGGGCTGTGGCGGAGGTCGAGAACCGAGGTGGGCTCGTAGCCCCCCAAGTTCGAAATACCTAGGTGAAAGTTGACACTTTGGTTATTAGTCTGGGTGCTGTGCTTGGGAGATTGGTTGTTGTTGTTGCTGTGTGGGGAAGAAACAGGCACTCTCATGGCTTATTTAGAAAGCCCCTCTTTTATGACTGGCTTATTTAGAAAGCTGTGATTTGGTTGAGAGGAAGAGGAAATGTGAAGGGAGGGGTAAGGGGGGCTTTTGGTGGCGATGATTGAAGTCTTTTTATCTTTGCGTGTGTGCATGGTGGTGGTAGTGGGATGGCAATGGAATATAATAAGGTAAAGTAGTAGCGTTTGTGTGGAAATGTCATACATGACATTAGAGGGATGACGAGGGTTCGGAGGGAGGCTTTTAATCTCTTTGAAGCTTCTTGCTCAAGTCTTTATTTGCATACAATTGCTTTTTTGAGTTTTCTGTACATTTCTTTGTTTGATTCGCTGTCTAATTCTGCTTTTTAGTAATTAGCTCACTTCTGGACTCTCTCCAGGCCATGCAAAAGCAATCAACCCATGTTAGGTGTATTTTTAGAAGGATCCCATAACAGTGAAGTGTGCGGTTGGCTAGCTTGTTGAAAGTTTAGGTTATTGGTGGTAACTTATTTTTATGCTTGATTGTGGATCTCACTTATGATCAACAACGTATGTAATATGTATTTGTAGTTTCATGGAGCTTACATTAAGTGATTAAGAGCGTTTGTTTTCAAATTTGGTTCAACCTGTCAGATGTTCAAAGAGACGGGCCACTCATCCACTCTCAGCTACAGTGATATTGTCCCAACTTAACCATGTATTTTTCGGTGTTGAGTTTTATTACAAAGGACCTTGATGTTATTAGAAGTGGAACCATATACTTATATATTGTATGACAAGGATGTGAAACCAAAATGACCCCTTATATCTTGCATCTTATTTTCTTAATTCTCCGATGTAGAACTTATATTCAACAGAAATGAATAATGATATAATTCTTGAGAAAGGAAAGTCTCGTTTTTTTAAAATGAATAATGCACATGTACTTGAAAATGAAAAATGCACATGTACACAAAAAGAATCCATGTGTGATATTAAATTCTTGGGCAAAAGACTGTTTACTACCCTCAAGTTTCATGGTTTTCAACATTTAGTACATCAATTTTTTTCATCCCAGAGTCATACCTAAAGTGTTAATTTTGGGACAGTCTCATACATCCGTTAGTCAAACTGTTAACTTTGCTGTTAAATGATGATGTGGCACCCACGTGGACAATGATTGGGTGTCACGTGTCATTAAAAATTTAAAAATAATTAATAAAATGAAAGTAAAAAAATAAAAAAAATAAAAAAATAAAAAACCCCAGATCCCCATTGTCTTCCCCACCCCGACCCCCCATCCCTTCTCCCTCTACACATCCATCCTTCCCCTCCCCCTTCTCCCCAGATTCCCTTTCGTTTTTTCTCCCGTTCCCTCTGCATAGGCCTAGTCCCGTCCACTCCCTTTGCACATCCAAGAACTCAGCCATCCATTCCGTCGAGATCTAGGAACCTGACAAGTCCCTTGTCCTCGGATGGAAGCACGGCGACCCTCTCTTCCACAGAAATCTCGCCTAGCTGCAGAGATTCAAGAACAACAACCAACCAACCAAATCTCAATCAAACAACCAATCAATTAATCAATCAATCCAAATCCAAAAATTCAAATTGTAGAGAGAGAGAAAAAGAGAGGGTGGCGTAGGGAGGGCGGAGCTCCGGTGAGGAAATCAGAGAGAGAGGACGGGAGGGAGGGAGGGTGGTTGGTGTGGGTTGTAGAGGAGAGAAGAGAGGGAGGGAGAGTGGGGTGGTTGCAGAGGAGAGAAGAGAGGGTGGGGGTTGCAGCAAGTGCCAGAGGGAGGAGTGGATGGAGAAAGGGTGGCTCGGGTAGGCAAGGGGTGGGTGATGGAGGTGCTCGGATGGAGAAGATGAAGGGGGTGGATGGGATGAAGGGGGCGGAGGGGATGAGGGAAGGATGGATGTGCAGATGGAGAAGGGAGGGGGGTCGGTGTGACATCCCACATCGCCCAGGGGAGTGATCCTTAAATGTATATTCCCATCCCTACCTAGCATGAGGCTTTTTGGGAGCTCACTGGCTTCGGGTTCCATCGGAACTCTGAAGTTAAGCGAGTAGCGCACGAGAGCACTCCCATGATGGGTGACCTACTGGGAAGTTCTCGTGTGAGTTCCTAGAAACAAAACCGTGAGGGCGTGGTCGGGGCCCAAAGCGGACAATATCGTGCTATGATGGTGGAGTGGGCCCGGGAAGTGGTCCGCCCCGGGCCGGGATGTGACAGTCGGGGTGGGGAAGACAAAGGGATCTGGGGATTTTTTTTTTTTTACTTTTAATTAATTATTTATTTTAATAGTTTATTATATTTTTAATGACACGTGGCGCCCAATCATTGTCCACATGGGCGCCACGTCACAGTTAACGGGAGACTTAACAGTTTGACTAACGGATGTATGAGACTGTCCCAAAATTTACACTTTAGGTATGACTCTGGGATGAAAAAAAATTGATGTACTAAATGTTGAAAACCATGAAACTTGAGAGTAGTAAACAGTCTTTTACCCTAAATTCTTCTATGCAATGAATTTCACTTGTAGTAGTTTTGTTCTCTTGTTGTCTTTTATTTTATGCCATATGTCCATTTTTTAGCTTGTAATGCATTCGCATTATCTATGTTAAAAGTTAATTTACTTTACAAGTTAAAAATTTCATCTTAAAATAATTTACAAAATACGTGCCATTTTTTCTCTTGGTGCCAAAATGTTACCCGACAAAGTGTTCTTGCCCAACAAAATTATTTTGTCGCACAAAGCCTTTGGAAAAACCATATATGTTGACCATCTTTGCCCGATCAACGGAAATTTTCGTCGGGTAAACTTACTTTATCTGACGAAATATGGTTCATCGGATCAAATTTTGTCGGGCGAACAATATTTTATGGTAGTGTAATGATCCATTCATGCATGTTCCAAATACAGTTTTAATACCACTTATAGTCTAAATTCAGAAAGAGTTCTGGTCCGTTTTACCATTTCAATAAACTAATTAAACATCTTTTTCAAAGCATCTTGGGATTAAAGTTTCGATTCTAGATACAATCCCCTCAAAGTCACCTACAATTCCTTCATTGATTATTTCTACTCATCAGTTACTTATACATTTAATTACCATCTTGTATAAAATTGTAATTAAATAAGGAACTGTTAAACCGTGACTAAGAAAAAATTATTTGTTCTTCCCTCTACATAATTCTAAAGTCTTTCCATACCAAACTCATATCATATGGGAATCGGAGGGACTTCTGAATTCTTCTCAGCGTAAAACGACAAAGAAGTCAAAGTGTCAAACTGTTGGCGTTAAAGCTCCAAAGTATTGTCCCCCCAAACTCTTCCGAGGACCCACGAAAGCTCATACTAACACTAGCACGCACCTTTACTTATCTCACTTTGAAAAAGCTTAGAGAAAGAAGCATGATTAAATCTTTGAGGGCTTAGATACTTGCTGGCTCAGCCTACAATAATGGAAAGTAACTAAATGTATCTTCCTGAACCATGCAAGGCACTTAGCAAAAGCTAATTAGTATAGGCCTGTCATGGTTTTAATAAGTTTAAGGATTACATCGGAAAAACCGGTCATATCATTACAGTTTTTTATAATATGAATAAATTGTGGACGATATAATTGATATGTTACATTTTTAAAAGCAACAATATATGTATAATAATTTAAGTAGAATAATACTATCACATAACTAAGGGTGGATCCACATAGGGATCAAGGTGGTCTTAGGACCATCTAGAAGCCGGGAAACACACCTATGAAGGTCCTCCAAGGACCTTTTGAATGTTTGATACGAGACCATTTTGTGTACATCAAGTGTTTGATGTAATGCCTACTAGGCATATATATACCTGCAACACTCGACATTTACATCAAAATAACTCCGACAGATACTCTCGGTATCACTTAACAAATTGCTTCGATAAGGGTCGATATATGTTGACATGTGTGCAAATGGCTCGTACGACGGCAATAAGCACACAAAGTGTTCAATGAAATGTCTCAATAAACAAATTGAAAATTTTTGCGTGCTTCACGCGCTTTTTCCATCTAAAAAAATTGGAACTCCAACACTGAGATCGTCAAGTTCAAATCCTGAATCTACCACTGCACATAATGGTATTTGGGTAGACGCAGATACTTCTCCATGTTTAATTAAGTTCCTAAAGTAACGTATGTACTCGGTAACTAACTTTATTAAGAGCAATTGTAGACAAGTTATTTAGCACTACGGTTTAGTGATATTTTTCTTCAATTGTAAGTGATAGGTTTTAGATTCAATTATCGCTAAAGTAAATCCGAATCAAATTATTATAGCTAACCATTCCAAAATTTAGCACACTCCTCCATTCTTTAGTATAGACAATTTCGAATTAAAAAACCAACTTTTGACGTAATCTAGAAGCATGGAGCAATGTTCACACTAGATATTGGAGCAAAAAGCTAACGGAAATCTTGTTGACGTTGGAGGAGGGACCCAAATTAAGGCCGAAGGGTTCGGTCCTACAAGCAAGCACTCTAAGGTAAGTTGATTTGCCACAGATAAGGACCCACCACTAGGGTTAACTTTTTGTCGGACATGCATGGCAATAATGGCCATGCGAGTAATATAAGAATATTAAATTTTTTAAACCAAATTACAAATTAAATAATGTGTCACTAATAAAAAAATATAAATATCTTAATCGATACTTAATTAATAATTAAATCATTTACAAACACATCATCTAGTTTGTAAATATGATTTAAAATTTTTGATATCCCTAGCATTACTCATAACCATGCACCACAGTGCGTAGAAACAAGGCCCACGTAGGATTACTTTGCCAAATTGCCTTTGGCCGCGACCAGAGAGAGAGAATATGTTCCTCTTCCAAAATTGTGCAATGGGTCGTGAATTTGGGTGATAGGGCAATCACCGATTGATGTAAATCCTTCCGTACAGGCAAAGAGAAAATTAGGGGTGTAGTTAAATTAGGATTTTATGGTATTTTAATAGATTTTAAAATTAAAGTGTAGT